TGGGCAGGCGCGCGCTCGCTCTCTCGTTTCCCGGGGGAACGCGTAAGGTGAGGCACCAGCAGCCCCTGGTGCAGAGCGGCTTCGCATCTCGCCGCCGTGCCCAGCCGCCATTATCGAGGATCCTGAGTGGACGGGACGAGGTCCGGGTTTCAAGCTCTAGCTGCGGTTACCAAGCTCGTGAATCTGACTGGCAGTGTAGGCTGTGACCAGGAGCTAGCTAAAGCTGCTGCCTCACTAACAAGCTGTCTGTCCTGCGCTTGGTTTTGTTAGCCACATTCCACTGACTGGCATGTAATGTGTTGTTCAGCAGAGGCTGGTACAAAGGCCCAGCAAACAATTAGATGTGAATCTTACGATCAGTTAATTCACCTCTGCCTTTACATGTCAAGAGGCAGAAGTGACTTATGAGTCAGTGTCTGGCAGTAGAAGATGAAGGCAGTTCCCTGGAAAACATTGCACTGAACTTTCTGGATGTGATATGCTAGCGTTCATATGGCACCTGCTTACTGCTGTTCTGACTGGCTTTCATACAGACAGGGGACAATGATTACTTCTTACTTGTTAAAGCAGAAATTGGCTTTTACTCAGAGACGGGTCCCTTCAATGTTGAGCATGTAATGAATTCTGCAAAGCTTGTGGTTACCCAAGTGAAACAAAATACAGATCTCTAGCTGAAGCAGACAAAACATTAATTAGCAGCCTTTATGGTCAAAGTAGATCTGTGTTATTCTGTAGCACAGTAAAAGTATTAACTACTAATAGATTTTTAAAATTACTCTCTAGCTGAACCGGTTGTGAGGAAGGAACTTCATAATATGCCTGATGAGTCTGTGTTCATCTACTGCCTAGTAGGAGACAGAGCCTAGTAAGTAACTTTTAATGCCAACAACTGATACAACTTTGCTATTTGTGGACTGGAGGTTAACTACCTGTTGGAACAACTGACTGAACTGCCCTTTTGTGCAAGGAATGAAGCATTTCTTTGAGTTCTGAGGTCTACACCATCCCTAATGTGAACTACCTGCATGCTTATTCTGAGAAGTGGGTTGGGGAGGTGTGAGGCAAAGACCTTTGAATCATCCTTTTGAAGGAATTTTAACAGGCTAACTTCAGAGTGCACCTCTACAAGCTGTGCTTAACCCCTTCTTCCTTAACAGCTGGAAAGATCCCAACAATGAATTCAGGAAGAATCTGAAACTTACAGGAGTGCCTACACTACTTAAATATGGAACAGTAAGTGATTTACTGTATCTTCTGGATCTACAGGCATTCAAATGGGAAACTGGCAGGAGCTTATGGCTGTAAATTAATTAGTCATGCCTGTTTTCTGATACCCTCTCTTGTATAAAAAGCAATTAGGAACGGCTCTTCTGCTCCCACCCATGCATTCTTCCAGTCTCAAACAGTTCCTCAAGAAAGAACCACTCTGCTTTCTGTTTAATGTTGTCTATAATAAACATACAGTAAAGAAAATACGTATACTTAGCATGTAGTAGTTGAGGGGTAGAGAAAATTCTTAGCAATATATTAGCTTCCTGACTTGCAACTCCTCAAATTTTAAAAAATTCAGATGGTGAATTATGAGAGTGAAACAAGTTATGTGCAGTATACTCGATTCAAACAGACTACATCTCAAGTTTTAACTTGTGCATATGATTTAAATTACCAGTTACTTTCTTAGAAATGCCTCTTCCAAGGCCAGAAAACCCTCAGGCATTTTTCAATTATTCTTACCTTGTTTGCTTCACCCCACCACTCCACCCTCCCAGGAAAAACAATTGCTGGAATATGGCTAATGTATGTACAAATGGCTCTAGCCTAGAACAGGTTTTTGAATTGCCCCTAAAACATCTTAACTTTTCTTTCAGCCTCAGAAGCTGGTTGAAGAAGAATGTTTTAAAGCAGAGCTTGTGCGTATGTTATTTACTGAAGACTAAATCCTCCAGGAGTCAATCATTTACGAAGATGTTACTCTCAAGTTATTTGCAGTGTCCTTTGAAGGACCTTAGCCTTTTTTAAACTTTCATGGTTAATTACTTCAGACTAGTCAAGATAAATGTCATTAAATTCTAGGTCCAAACCATCCAGTAAAATCCTGCAACAAAAAACTGTAGCTTTCCTTTCGTGTTCAAATAAACTTGAGTTTGCAAACAGTCTCTCTTCAAAGGAGCCGAGTTCATGTTATAAACTGAGAGAGCAGCCTACAATTACTAAAGAGTAAGACTTAACTGCTAAGTTATACCTTTAATAGTGAAGGGGAGGAGCAGAGAAACAGAAAAACCTCCTTATTCTTCCTAAATCTGACTTCACATAGCTACTGAAGCTGCTATGATAGATTTTCAATGCCAAAGATATTTAATGGCTTATCTGTTTAGTCGAATTATGATAAGCTGAAGGCTGACAGTCTTGGTGTCACTGATCACATGTTAAGTGTTAACAGTTGCAGTACCTGCTCCTACAAGGATATGAAATACAAATGCAGCATGAATACAATCTAAAATACAAAAATTGCATCCCTGACAGCTACAATAAAAACTATAGAGGAATAAATAGCAAATGCTTCTCCAATACTGCAAGCATTTACACCTTTTTTCATAAATTGTTTTCATTACACGTACTGTAGAGAAGCCTAAGAGCAGCCACTATTTCACGGGCAGAAAACAAAGATTGAAGTAAGCTGACTTTAATGGAATGGATACAGCTACAGCCTACTTCCTTCTCTTGAGTATCTGCAAAGTTTATTATTACTTCTCTCTGCTCCACTCCTGCAGTCCTTGTCTTGTCACACTTTGATTTCTATCTGTAAAATGTACTGTAAGGAAAGCTCTAACACCCTCAGCAAGGATGATTACCAGGTAAACAGAAACGACAAGAAATAGCTCAGTTTCAAGGCAAAAATCCACAACTTAAGATTTTGTACAATATCATCACTTCAACTTTGCTCATCCTGCAGTTGTAAAAAACAGTACACAAAGGAGTTCTGTCTTTGAGACACACTGTTATTTTCCAGGGAAAATGCCTCCTAAGAACAGACTTCTGAGCTACAGTTTTTGTTAGATTCTTAAATGTCAGTAAGTAACAAAACTATGTTTTGCTTTCAAATTCAAGAGGAATCAATAACTACAGTAAGTAATGCTCTTAGAAAATTGACCGTGCTATAAAATACAATTGCAGAAGTAGGTGTTTATCAGTCTTGGTATCTTTAAAAAAGGTGATTAAAGAGAAAAAACCCAAATCAGTCACTTGATAAATCAAAAATTAAATGTACACACACCCAGAGGCAAACCTACGAAAGGGTTCATTCCTCTCTTGTAAATACTTCAGCTGACACAAAGTACACCTTATCATCACTCTTCCAAGTGTTTCTCACTTTACAGAGGTGTTGTTTTGTTGCTGCTGCTCTGCAAGTGCTTGCTGGAGGCGCATTCTTTTCCGTGAGTAGTGCTGCCAGTGAAGAATCTGTTGCTCATCAATAAACTTAGCACACTGAGCATTTACCAGTTCTTTGCGGAAATGTTCATATTGGAGCAGCTCTAACATATGCAAACATTGAGGATACCTGGATTAAAAATAAACATATTTTAATACAAGTTTTTACAAGGTGCAGTAAAACTGGAGTCTGCAATAATTCTGCAGTTCATTATTTTAGTTTTATCGTGTTTGTGCTTTACTCAAGTATCAACCACTTAAGACTGTACATATTCTCACACACTGTAACTTAGTAACTTCAGTATTAGGCTAGGAAACAAGGAGTCCAGTAACAGTTTATAAATGCATATACATGCTTGCTTAGAGTAGCTTTTCTAATGGCTAGATTTTACTAAAGCAAATGCATAACAACTACTGTATCAGTTTGCAGAGCTCATTTAAAGAACATAACTGTTCTCTCAAAATCTGAAGGAGTTTGCACACATGAAAATGCAAAGGCATCCCTTGTTTCCTGTAGGCATCAACAATGCAAAATTACTTTTAAAATGAACTTACTGGGCCTAACTGAAGTACTTTTGTACCATAATAATGTTCAATAGTTTTATTTTAAACAAATGGTAAAGTGCAGATAAAGGCTGCAAAAAGAAGATTCCACGCACTACTCGTGAAAGACAAGTTTTATAATTTTGTCTATTTTTGCTACATCTGGACTGTTGGAAACATGAAAATTTATGTTCTATATAAACACAGTGGGGAGCACAAAGGTAAGGTTACAGGCAGAAGTCAAATACTGACATGCTGCTGTGCAGTACGTAACAGAAGGTAAACATCAAATAATTAAAATGCGGAAACCTAAGTGATTTTTAACACTTACTTCAGGTATTTTGCATATTCAGGTTCTTTCCAATAAAGTAAATATTTAAGATAATTTACAAAAGCTTTGTCTTTGAAGTAGCCTCTTTGTGCAAGAACTGAAATAAAATAAGAAACCGTCAGTTACAGATACCTGAAAAAAATCCGCCAAACTTGGAAGAATACATATTCACAAAACTATACAAAAAGGCACTGTAGTCAAAACTTTATCATTACAATCAAATTTTGATCATTCAAAATGAAAAAAACACAGGGAAAAATATATTTTTATGTCAACATACTAGGCATAATAAATTAGTCTCATCTCCCTAACACAGTATGTATCTTTCATACAACAGCAAGAAAGAGAACCGCTTTTTGAAACAGGAAATTTTGACTATAGCATCACAATTGGCAGGGTATTAGGTATAGTACCTGAAACTCTTATTAACATTAGTAAAATTCTGTTTTCAGATAAAGGAATACTGTTAACTTGACGTTACTTTTTAACTACAGACTTGAGCTTATTTTCTCCACCAGCTGCAGGCACTTTTTTTTCATTTCAACCAATAAAACATTTTGCATTTTAAAAAGCACAGCTGTTAAAAATCTAGGCAAATTAAATTATTTAGACTACTCTTATGCTGTGAAAGACCCATTCCCTTTTCTTTGTTTAACCCTCTCTCTCCCTGTTTAACATTACGAGTAATAATAACCACCATTAAACTATATTCATTCCTCAGGATCCTGGTATTTACTTTTAAGTACTCACAGTTGAGGTAATTTGGATTTGCCAGACATTGAACAAACTCTAACTCCAGCTGGAACCGAAGTCGATTTCCCGTATCATCTGATACACAAGAAAAACAGTAAGAATTGGACCCATACAATAGATTTGAAAGTAATTTTCTCAGTTTGAGTCATAAAAATAGAGATAATGTGTTTAAACAGGAGAAAAAGCAGAACTCCCCGTAATAAATACGGATTCATTTAGCAAAGACTTCATTACATTAATCAGTCTTGGGCCTGCATTAATAAACATGCTGGGTGGTGGTTTTTTTTTTTATAGTCAAGCAAATGCAAACAACGGAGGAATGCCCACTGATACTTTGTTTAGGGTGAAGGAAAAGGGAAGAGCAAGAAACCTGGAATATTTGTACAGGGAAAAGTAAGAAGGCAAGAATAGGGAACTGTGAACAGCCCACTGAAATCTTAGTTGTACATATTTTTAAAAGTAGTGCAAGGCAGCTTTTTTGGAGGGGGCAGAAAGGTGATAGTACACTAATAGGAATACTGCCATGTTCTCACAGTACAATGTACACGAATCACTAGTGGTATACCTTTGGTGCTCATACGGGATCCAGTGCTGTTTGACATCTTTATGACCTAGGTGATGTGACAGACTGCACACACACAGCAAGCCTGTGGATCACATAAAACTGGGAGGAGTGGCTGGAACACAGGAGGCTTGTGCAGCCATTCAGAGGGACCTTGAAAGGCTGGAGGAATGGGCCAACAGGAATCTCATGAAGTTCAACAAAGTGAAATGCAAAGTCTAGCACATGGGGAGAAACAACCCTGTGCAACAGTGCAGGCTGGGTGCCACCCTTCTGAGAAGCAGCTTTGCAGAAAAAGACCTGGGGTTCTGGTGGACAAGTTGAATATGACCTGCGATGAGCCGCTGCAGCAAAGAAGTTCAACTGCATTCTGGGCTGTATTGGGAAAAGCATTGCCAGCAGGTGAAAGGAGGTGATCCTTCCCCTCTACTCAGCAGTGGTGGGACCTTATCTGGTGTGCTGCATCCAGTTATGGGGTCCCCAGGACAAGGAAGACACAGATATAGAGGAGCAAGCCCAGAGGAAGGACACAAAAATAAATAAGGGACTGGAGAGCTGGGACTGTTCAGCTTTGAGAACAAAAGGCTCAGGGATGCTATTATCAGTGTGTATAAGTATGTGATGTGAAGGAACGAAGACAGAATCAAACTCTACTCAGTGGTGCCCAGAGAAAAGACAAAAGGCAAGGGGTGCAAACTGAAATACAGGAAATTCCCTTTAAACATAAGTTTGGGGTTTTGTGGGGTTTTTTTGTTTGTTTGTTTGGGGTTTTTTTCATTTTGGATTTTTACTGTGAAGGTGATTGATGGTAGGAACAATGTGCTCAGAGAGTCTGTGGAATCTCCATCGTTGAAGATACTGAAGACCTTACTAGACAAGGTCCTGAGCAATCTGGTCTAGTTGACCCTGGTTTGAGCAAGGAGTTGGACTAGATGATCTCCAAGGATTCCTTTGAACATGAACTATTCTGAAATTCTGCCAAACAGTCCCATCTTGAAAGGTGAAATGTGGAAGAACAACCTACTTACTTGAACCCAATGCCAAATCAAAACTGGGTATTGACAGTTTTTGCCAGTTTAGCAGTGGTCATAAGAAATTCACTTAATTTCTGCATTTATGCCCATGACCATATGAGCTGAGGCCCACCACACCAAAAGAGAGGAATAAAGACTCAGCTGACTTTCTTATTTTTAGAATCACATCATCAGACTATCCTAATTTAAAATTTTTTTCAGTGTTGCTCTAGTCTATAAAAACATCTCTCTTCGCTATTGGTGTAAACAATGTTATTTGATCCAGGTTGGTTATTACAGATTTTCCATCACCTATTTTCACCATTATCACCTATGTTTATATTAATTTTGAAAACTATTAAATATTTCACTGAAGACATAAGCTCTAGGGGATCCTGCCAGAAAAAAAATCCATGTAAATTATGATTCTACATTTAAAATTGTTTTTTACAAACTACTAAACAGTCATTTTTTTAATCTGTTTAAAAGAGCCCACACTGCCTTTAGTTCTTTAATTTTTGTAGCATCAAACGAAGACTAAATAAAGTACTTTAAGTAGGAGCAATTATTTATGTAATATTTATAAAACTTGTGACATAAAAATTAGGTGATGGTAATTTGATAAATTCTATTTGCCATATTTTAGTGACAAGTTTCTAATTCCTTAGTGACTCCATCTCATACCTCGGAGCACTTTCCTGCTCAGAGAAATGGCCATGTCCCTAAAAAAATAAGAAACTTGAACAGAGAATACAAGAGCAGTACAATGCAAGTTGAGAACACGGGTAACAATAAGGAGAATGCATAAGTCTCAATCATAATGAACACATAGCAAACTCTTATTGATGGAAGACAGGCTCTCAATTCTCAGAAGTCTGCAGTTGCCACTAGAGATCACTCATTCACAGGACTGTGAGGCCAACTTTCAGTTCTTTGCTGCGCCCATCAACAGACCTTAACACCAGAATATACATGCTTCTGAAAAGGCTGCATCTAAACACACCTTTTTTTAAGAAGCTATCGAGGCATAGCAACTAGCCCAGGGCTCATGGAGAACTGTGAAAACCAATGTTCTCCACAGGAATAAAGATGAAGGACAGACTGGGGTTGACTGAAGGACTTGTGCTCCCGATTTGCAGCTCCGATTCCTGAATCAAGGGCAAATGTTAAAAATTAGGTCGGGGTGTCATCCGTGGCAAAAGCTATCTAAGAGATTTGGGGAAGCGGGATTTAGCTCTACAGCCAGGGATGAGCCCTCTGATGCCTTCTCGCCACCTCCCCTCCTGCGGCCTCTGGGAGGACGAGGGCCGCGGGAACTTTCAGGAGCGCAACGGACGGCAGCAGCGGAGCAAACGGGGTGCCGGAGCCGGCCTGACCAGGGCAGGCACGGGATGGCCCGCGGGGCAGCAGGAACTTGCCCCAAGCCCCCTTCTTCGAGGAAGCGGGCTCAGAACCCG